GTATTAGTATTATACAGTGGTCCATGCTTAGTTAAAGAACGTGATCGTTGCCGTTGTCTTCGTTTCCGATTACGCACTCGATGCTGAGGATGGCAAGGTATCCCATGTCGCATTTTTTTTCGTAATACCGACGGTCACCGACCGGTCTATAGATTACCGCTGGTTAACCGTGCCGTTCAGTAAAACGACGGGTTTAGCGACGGTTTTTTCTTCTACCGGTGGTCACCGCACGGTAGTTTTCAGACCGCAGTACAAGAAAAAACCGTCGGTAAACCGCCTTGACACACGTCAGTCTATATGAGAAACGCAGAAAAGTCCAAAAACCTTTCATTTTTTTTCGGATTAAACTTTCTCTTTCAGATAATAGTTTTTCGAAGTTTGCACTTTGACTTGAGTCAAGTTTTTCCCGTTCGGAAACCTCATTGCGCTGCATGCGCACTGCAAAAAAAGAAAGCTGAGAACTAGATTCGAACTCCTGTACTGTTTGCTCAAACTGATAAAATACCGGTTGATACCGTCGGTACAACCGACCGGTATACCGCGCGGTTCGGTACACCGTGCGGTAATTTCACATGTCCATCAGGTTAACCTCCCATTATACTCGGCGGTGACCGATGTGGTAACCGGTGGTATTTTAGCGGTTCTGATGATATGGGATGGAACGTGCTTGTCGCTAGCGAATCGGATAATGTGTTGTTGCTGTTGTAGTATAACGACCATTGTCACTATCATTATCGTGAAATATTTAATTAAAAAATATTGTCTTTAATATAAAAATACGCCTCAATTCTGAACAACATTGTCGAGGATGCATCTTCAGAATTCTGTGTCAAGATCTTGAAAAGATTTGGCAACTTTTCTGAACTCATTAATGTAATGACTAATTAGGAAAATTAGCTCCATATTTGGACAAGGTGGGAGAGAACGGTAACCATAAGAATTTCACACATATTGATATTCTTTGTGGTACTATATTATAGAGGATCTGACACTGAATGCTGTTGACCTACAGGATGGATAAACGGATAAATTATACTTGTCATTCTCTCTATCACCTTTTTTGTTTTGCATTTACCATATATATAGAAGGATGATAATGTATAAGTCATACCGCTTAGTCATATATGTATATGTACATACGTCTTTCATATATCTATATATCTATATATGTACATAGGTTTACTTTTAAGCCATGTGCACTGTATTCTTTCAAAAACAATCTGAAAAAGGAAAAGCTATTTTGCCTCTTTTATTCTGATGATATAAGTAGTAAAGTAAAAGGCACGTTAGAAACTCTCAAAAAACACTACAGATAATTTGATTATTGTACTGGAACTGATTGAAGTCAATAATAATATCAGGAAATGAGAGTGCATTTCGACATAAGTAGTTGGTTAGAGAGAACTGATTCAAGTGGTTTTACATGTAGCCTGTGGCTAAAACCAGGAGCGTCGCCATAATGAATCAAAAACATGTACAAATGGTGCATGGTCATTTATCAAAAAAACATTTTGATGGTGCTAAACATAGAACAAAATCAACAGCAGCTCTTAGTGAAAATCAACCAAAGTAGATAAATTTCACATGACAACAAAATACTGACGGTCAATACCGAACCAAAGTTTACATTCGATGATCTCTTAACAATTTCAGAGATCAAATGGGCGATGAATATTGCTTAAAAGGGGTTTAGCTATCGATCTGTCGATGATTCCTTAGACATTTTCAGATCAATGTTTCCTGATAGTTCAATACAATTCAATACGGTTTAGGACCATACTTTCATGATATGATTGTTGATGATTTACAGAAAAACTCAAATTCATTTTTTTCTATATTAATTGATGAAACAGCGATGGTACAAATCATCAAACAATTTGATATAATGATACGTTGTCGGAGTGAGGTTAAAAAACGTGTTATTGTTATTTATTTCCATATGTAAGACTTCCACATTAAGTTTTATGTAAAAAATGATATATCGAAAGTTTTGATACTTTCTCACTTCGCATCTGGCCCCATGAAGTTTGAGTCATATTGCAACTATAAGGTATTATCTTGCATCTATTCTAACGTGATATTATTTGTATGATATATAAATGTTGTTGAGTGATTGAGTGATTGTGAGGCAGGACATGATAATTGTTCAAAAATTTCTCTTCCTTTTTACTTCGAATTATTATTTATTACGACGTTTCGAAGGTTACTACCTTCTTCCTCAGGTTTTAAAAATAGAACTAATTTTTAAGAATAAGAGCACTTATATATGTATGTACAAAAGTCAATTTTTCCTTTTTCTCTTCTTATGTTCTCTAATAGTGGAACGGACGACAACAAGACGGTAACACTGGAACAGAAACGAAACTATATTACATAGTCTCTTCTTCGTCCGTTCCACTATTATCATTTCACTCAATTTCGTAACCACTACAGTGAGCGTACCACTACCATCGCACGTAATTTGGAAAAATTACGTTTGGAAGTAATAAGAACTGAAGCACGCGTCAATTTTCTACAAGAATGTAAGAAAAACAATATAATACCAAGAGGAATGATAATAAAAAGTAATTATAATATCTACAAGAATAACAAATTACTGAGTGAAACAATGAACAAAATTAGAGATAATACACTTGCATGGAGACTTAAACAGTTAAGATCATATCAAATTAATGCCAACACTCAAATTTCAATTCTCAAATATTATATAGATACGGAACAATCACAACGAGATCATTCTAATGCTTTATCATGGATGATCAAGAAGGTAAATAAGATACGAGATGAATTAAAAATAAAACATGAAAAGAAACTGAATTATTTAATTGATCATTTGAAACGTCATCCGTCTCTTTCTGCACCAAATAATAACAACAACAAGTTTGATAATAAAAATACTTACGTAGTGAATAATTCCAACAAAACATTAACTGAACAACAATTAAATGTACTAGAAAAAGGTTTAAAATATGTACCTACGCCAAAATCTATTGATCTAGTCGATATCATCACTAATGTCGAAACTTCTCTCAAATTAACCCCGAAGATTCTAAAACAAGTAGCAATATCTGAAGTCACTGAATTCGTTCAAAAATGAAGAGCTCCGAAAAGTAGAAATTTAACAAAAATTGAAGAGAAAATGTTAAAAGAACTAAAAGCAATTGAAGATATTGTAATTGTTTCAGCTGACAAAGGTGGCCGAATAGTAATTCTCAACAAAGATGATTATAATCACGTGGCTCATGATCCATATCACGTGACGCCACGCTAGAACTGTCACAATATCATTCAGTCTAGGTCAATCCTATCGAGTAATCCATTCTTCGACGGTTCTTCCGATCTCGCCAATCTTCTTCCTTTGTACCAGCTTTCTTACGATCAACAAAATCCTCAATGCACGCGCCGCCGAAATCCACAATCCAAGCATCGAAATTCTTATCGATGACGATTTTCCTAGGATAAACATTACCCTATACAATATTATAGGAATGCAGCTCCTTGACAATAGCTGTGACTTGCCGCTTCCGCCTTGCATAATGTTCTAAGGTCATCTTGCATTGGCGACTTTGCAAGGATTCGCCGATTAAGGGTATAAGGTCAAATAGGAGGCCAATCGTCATCTTAGTGTCTTTGGATATCACGATACTGTGGAAGGTGGCCACTCTAATCTTATCCTTCAAACCAGCAGCAAGGATACGTGAATGCATATCAATTTCTCTGATAATTTGGCTCTTGTCAAGCGCGGGCTTGAAAAACTTGATTGTGTCATCGCCAATAATGGCCTTTCGAGGGATTTCGGACATATAGTCATAGTTTTCGGTACTCGCAGGGACAATTTGGATATCTGATGCCTTTGAGCAACAGACTTGTGGGTATTGTGGAAGGCCTCAAGACTGGATCATCAGAGCGTAAGGTGTGCTAGTGTGACGATCTCGACTAGCCTTAGCATAAAGGGAAGACGTCGAAGCCATAAGCTGCAGATGAAAGGTTGGTGGATAGTAGAACGCCTCGAAAGTGAGATCCTTAGGTACATGCGATGTATATTCTCGAAAGTAAGAAAAGCACGGTTCCACAATCCAGCTACACAACGCCTCGTAGTCGTCGTTAGCTCCACTGTCTATATCGTCGACTCTGGCAACTAGTTGGGAGTACTTTAGCTCGAAGCAGCTTCCGCGAAGATCTTCAAGGGATACAGTAATCTGAAATCGCGAGGCTCGATATGTGACAGTTATCCATGAGCTTTTGGGATCGAATTGACTGTCTTTAAACTTGATGGCTGAGACTCTGATGAATCTATTGGGGCAAAAGACCTCGCTAGCAATATTGAAGGAAGCGGCGCCTAGAGAATATAGTGGAGAGCGATGTTTGCTAGATGTATGGAAGAGTTTTGGAATCTATATGCCATAGATAATAATCAGCAAAGATCTTTTATAAAGGCAGATATTGATTTAAATCATATACCTAAGAGAGGCCTTTGTGTGCCTATCTTTATGCAACTCTACTACTACAACTCAAGATACTATTATTCTACACTAAAGGAATTAAGCGCAAATATATAAATACTATGCTCTCAACATTAGTAGAGGACGCTAAAGAGGTACCGTTATTATCAAAATAAGAAGAATTCTTAAAGAAGTAGTTAGCATTATTATTAAAATAAGAAAAGCTCTTAAAAAAGTAATTAGTGTCACTATTAAAATAAAAAGAGCTTTTAAAAAAAAGATTAGCATTATTATAATAAAGAGATAATTATATAAATTATAACAATAATCTATTATAAATAATAATAATAATAAATAATTCTTTAATTACAATAGCATTTTAAATTGCAATAATATAAATAAACGAAGTTTTAATAATACATATAACTATAGCTAAAATAGATAATTAAAGCTATAATTTTACTTAGTTATTTTTATCTTTTTATATTATTTAATTAAAGCAAAGAAAATAATATTTATAAAAAAATTTAAAAAAATATAAAAATTAATTATTTCTAATTTTTAAATAAAATTAAATATTAAATTAATATTTTAATCTAGAAATATAAAACTGTAATTTAAAAGTATTTATATAAAATAAATAATGTTTTAAATAATATTATAATAATAATAATAAATTATATATAAAAACTTAAATAAATAACTCATGGTATACAGCAGAGGTATCATGGAAACCCGTTCTGAATATTCGCCCACTATCCCGAAAAATTCTCACACCTATCCCTTTCTCAGATCCCTACCCAATCGTAACACGGCATTTTCCAGTCAATCCCTGAATCACCCTGGAAAAGTTTGTACATCTTTGTCTTGCTCACAAACCACAATGCAGAGTCTCTTAACCGAAGGCCCCAAGCAGTCTGTGGAAATGCAATTTGTGGAAAACCGGGTGGAAGTTCTTCCATTTTTGCATACAATGGGCGAAAGACCTCCTCGTATTTCTCCAGAGCCTGTGGAACATCATTGCTGCTCTGTATCTTCGACAGCTCTCCCGCCAGTATGTAAGCACTCCCAATAGCAAGACTCGTTCCGACACCAAAAGTTGCGAAGGCTGCATCTCCCAGTACAAGAGCACGTCCGTTTGTCCATTTTGAAAGCTTCACCTGCGCAGCCCGGCTCATGTAGAAGTCTTCTGCATGGTCCATTCCTTCCAATACCCGCTTTGCTTCCCAGCCTGCATTTTCAAAGTACTCGTGCAGCATACGTTTTGTGTCTTCCGTTCCTTTGTCCATAGCATCTTCGACGGCTGGATCCCGTTGCCCTCGTGCTGGCATTGTAATGCACAAGTATGCTCCCATAGTAGAAGTGTTCCGATGCGGCCGTATCATGATACTGAGACCTTTCGGGACAGTGTACCACTGCCACAGCTTTGGATCGGTTGGCCGACTCGGAATGCTAAAGAACGCAATGTACTGGCCCAGGAATTTATAGCTATCCTTGAGAACTTGCTCGTTCAGAATCAGCGACCGAGTCTTCGAAGTAGACCCGTCTGCGGCAACAATCAAATCAAATGTGTCTTTTGATCCCCCGATGAAGGTCACATTAACATCTTTATCTGTCTGTTCGAGAGATTTGACAGAATCCCCGTATATGTACTGGACATTGCCCAAGCCCTCGGTGGCTTCCAGGAAAAGTCGTGACAAGTCTGCTCTCAGGATTTCGTATTCAGCAGTGAAAGAATTGCCAGCATTGAATTGAGCAAAAATGTTTCCCGAAGAATTCAAAAATCTTGTACCTTCTTCTGTGGTATGTCGGGAGCGGACAGCCTCTTCCAATTTCATTCTCTTGATGATTTCAACTGCTGGACCACGAATGTCGATCGCCTGGCCGGTCACCCTCGGAGAAGGTGATCGTTCGATGATTGTGATGGATATATCAAGACGTGTTTTGGCCAGCCAGTTTGCGAGACAAGACCCTGCGATGCCTGCCCCTGCTATGAGGACTTTCAATTTGAGTGCGGACATCTTTCTTTGTCGTCTGTTGAAAATTTATGTCTAAAACAAATCAATTTACATGAACGTGGAGAACATATATAACCTCGAGAGCAACGCTTAGAAGGAGGGATCGTGTAAGCACTAACAGAATACCAGATGTGTGTTCCTTGAACGTCATCATAGACTTTTTTGTTGAGCTTAGTCTCATACAGATAAATTCAATCAGAAGAACGCGTTACCGCTTACAGTGACATGCTGCTGAACCACCTAGAGAGCCGAACTACGCATTACTGTTATCTCAAGAAGTGTCTACCCAGATGTACTGGAGGCCATCTCTAGTAGCTTGTTCTCCGCAGAACTGGATTTTTCTATAGCCAGCCTTGCTCTTGCCAACGCCCTGCGCTAAGTCTTTAAAGGTAGCCTCTTCATCATCCTCCCCCAAGTATGCGAAAGTGTCGCATAGGGAGGAATGTTATCGATAAGACCTCTGGTTAGGCTGAATTCACCATTGGTTTTGAGTTCCAAAAGATGGATGATTGCGCATAGTATTGAGATCTCGTCTGCCTTAGGTACTTCAGGTAAGGTTTCACAGTCCCAGTCTAATCGTAGGATTTCGAGGTCTCAACATCGCTTCGCTCCCACATTATCGTTCTACTCTTCTGTGGGGCGCAGCAAATTTATCCCTTTACCCGATGCCAAGAATCCCCATTTTAGCGTGGCAAGGGTTATAACCAATAGAATAATTAGATATTGTCAAATTCGCTGTATTATAAGAACTTCATTTATTGTTTATATGTGAATCATCACTAGTGTTCTGCCCTAGGGCAGGTTCGAGGCATCCATTTCCTCCATCCTTCTCTATCCATTGCGCGACGTTTTATGGTTGCATAGGACTCATTCCCTAGAATATCGTCTAACATCATCGCT